GTTTGTATCACATAAGTCAGTGCCTGGGGAAAAAATTAATGCAAGCACAAAAGATATAGTGTAGCAATACTGATAATGCAAGGGAACTAATAAGAAGAGGTTTTGCCCACCTGAAGTTTACCAATGGTCTTAGCTAGAGAAATAAATATCCAAATAACAAATGCAGCATCTAAAATGGCCACTGGATAGACCAAGAACAGACGAGCTTTTCCAGATAGATCATTAACAGCACCAAGATTTTCTACCAATTCAAGAATTTCTGTTGCTAGAAAGAATGTTCCACCAAGCACGACCACTTTTGATGTCAAGCCACCCAAAGTAGGCATGACGACACCATATCCCATTGAGACAATGAGAACAATAACTTCAGCGGCCGTCCTCTTGACAGTTCCAAACGTGACAGCCCAAAATGTGATGGCTTTTGGCCGAACTCCAGTCTCATTGAACTCAGCATACTCAAAATACCACAATGCCATCTCAAACATGCCCAGTGTAATCACAAAAGTAATACAGTTCTGAAGTGGAAGAACCTCTCTCCAAGATTTCATGTACTGATAAAACCAATAGATCCCAAGTACGACAAATGCAAAAGACATCAGTCCAAAAAAGTTCTTAAGAGGTGCCATCCGACCCGGAAGGTACCCAGTAGGATTTTTCCATATGGTTTTCCCCTCGATTTCCAAACTAGCAAGTGACGGATCACAGTGTATAAAGTACATATTGTACATCCCAGTTTTGGTAATTGGAATGGTCCTTGATGGTAGCGTTGCGATCAGATCGCTTCCATCAAAAGATGCAACAAACAACTTTGGCCAACCAGGATTTACTTGGGATGGGCGGTAGATGACAGAACCTTCTGTGCAAGCTCCTAACTTCGCAAGATCTGAAGTACAACAAATAGCTTTCTGACCTCCATACGCTGATCCACCAATCATTTCACGGTCTTCTATCTCAAAAACAAGTACCTGAACCTTAGCTGAACTAGTCCCCTTCACAGAATCGTTAGTATCTTCTGGTCGCCTAAAAGTAATCTTGTCAAACCTGAAAAATGGTAGAAATGCGAAAGTCAAATATCTGAATCCAAGTGTCAGATTAGACTCAATTGAATAGATGTAAAATGCATGTGCGTATTTCTGCATGACAGTGGTCAATATACTTGTACCGCTACTAAATAAATGATTTCGAAGATGAAAACTGAACTCGCTGAAGAGTAATCAGCTTGCAAGTAAATACAAACTCAAGAAATAGAAAGCTCGCAGCATTTTTGGAAATGATCACCACAAGCCTGGCTTCGAAATTGATATTTGCATGGAGAAAACAGCACAACTTTTTTCTATTGCGCTTATGAGATGCATCTGCATTTGAACAAGTACAAAACACGTGCTTGAGGTTGTTCCTCTCCAATGTCACCCAATGTTGACTGACTTTCATCATTGGCAAAGTGATAACCCAAAGTCACCCTATTTAGCTATAATTCTCGTATCCCGCGTGGTAAATGCTACTCAGGGCAATACAGATGAACACTCCCAGCCGCCACCGACACAACAGTAGCTGCACACCTTGACGCGAGATTACTAAATTCCCGCAAAACCCGCACCCATCCAAGTGTCGGGCGGCAGAGTGCCCAGGTCGGTAGGATCCAAGATCCACCCGGCTGCCAGCATCTACCCCCGCTGTACCTGTACCGCAGCCAACCCCTTGTACTGCAGACGCACGCATCAAACAAAATTTGCCACCGGATAGCGAACTGGAACGGCTACTGGCTAGCACATTACCGGATGAAGGCGTCGGGCAGCGCGGCGGCGTCCTCGTCGTCCTCGGCGGTGGTGTTGGCGTGGGAGGCCGCGTAGAGGCCCTCGCTGCCGGCGTGGAGGATGAAGGCGTTGCCCTTGTTGGCGAAGCTGAGCCCGCGGTACTCGTGCACGGACGCATCCCCGGGGCGGAGGAGGAGAGCGACGGCAACGGCGAGGAGGAAACGGGCGGCCATGGGGGCGAGCTGGTGAGGTTGGATCTGGCGTGAAGCGGAGTGGAGCGCAGCGCCTCCCCTGCTGGAGCTCGGCAGGGCCGGGGGGCAAAACCGGGAGAAAAGCCAAAGGATGTGGCCCCCTCGGCCGTCGGTAGGAAATGGGGAGTGAAGGACTGAAGTCTTAAGGAGTGAAGGACAGTGCTTTGGTCGACCCAAACCAGCTTCTTTGGTGTTCAAACTTCGAGGGTCAATGGCAATTGGCAAACCAGCACTGAAAACAGATGCAGGGTTGGCTACGGCTATCTACCGTAATATAAGGTCTTGGGAACTGTTTCTAGGCACAGAATTTGTGCGGTAGATCGTGTGTCAGGCATAAGGAACAAATCGATTTGTTTTTAAGAACCTGTTTGAAATACGATAATGTACAAAACAAAGGAATAGAGAGAAACACACACGAATAGAATAGAACGAAAAGTAGAAAACTACATGATTTGAAAACACAATAGAAACTTTGGGTGTTTGGGTTGCAGAAAAATAGAAATGTCACATGTGCCCAAGAAGCAAAGTTTCAGGCTTTAGAACTTGAGAGAACATTGCAGAATCTTTTTCTTTGGGTTTCCTTAGATGCTTTTTTTTCCTAGTGTTTTGTGAAGCAAGGTTGGCCTTCCCTCTAAAAACGAATGCAGATTTCTTTTGTTCTGAACACCAAATTAAGAAAACTTCCCTAAGTAATCTATTCCTTTGCTTTTTTCCTTTAGAAATCCTCCATTCCAAACTAGCCTTATGTTAGACGTTTTAATGCTCTAGCTTAGAGCTAGTTGAATCAATAATCTAACTTAGAGCAAGTACAATAAGCCATGTCAACTTGACTTATAGCCAAGACAAACCAGCAAAATCTAAGATGGAAGGAGAGAAATGGGGAAAGACAAGGAGCTTATAGACGGATGAGGGAAAGAGTGGATGGGGCCCATGCATAATAAAGAATTGTATTTGGTAGAGAAGAAGGGACCAGATTGTTGTATAGCTTGTTTGTTAAGCTAGTCTTTTGCTAGTTTGACTTGGTTTATAGTCAACTTTATTAAACTTGCTCTTAGATCTAGTTGAATCAATGATCTAACTTAGAGCTACCTGAATTAATTTTTTAATTAATGAATAGTGTAAAAAGAAAGAGACTAGTATGGCATGGTATGGTCCTTCAAAATAGACTACCTCGAAGAGAGTGTCTCCTTGCAGCAGTGTGTGGAGTCGCTGAAAGTGACCTAGAGGACAATAATGCCCGGAGGCATCACGCGCCGCCCGGGTACGATCCCGTGGAAGGGAGATTCCAAGGTGGGAAGCTTTCTAGGACTGATCTTTAATCTGTCAAATGCATCCTTGTAAAGGATGTTGATGCCACGCTACCTGCGTCCATGAGGATCTTTGTCCTAACGGTATCTATCATCGCGCTGACCACCAGGGGAAAATGACTGGCCTCCACGACATGGTCGAGGTGGTTGCTCCCGTCGAAGGTGATCGGCTGCTTGGAGCAACGCCTTAGGTCAGTGTTGACAGTAATTTCATCACATATTTACAAAGTCAAAATCGTCAACAAGACATCCTTTCTGGGAGATAACAAGCAAGGAAGTAGTGATTTTGGTACAAATAACTTGGCTCCACATGTACATGTCATTATTTGCTTGTAGGTATGAAAATAAAGGACTTTGGGTGGTTGTGGGCCCACATAGAGGGTCGACCGAATAACCTATGGGCCCACTGCCCCCTCTCAAGCCTCCCATGAACCTCCCAAACACTTCTAGAGCAATATCAACCCTTAGATCACAAGTGTGTTTTCTCTCAATGGCTAGAGATGAGATCACATGGATTGAAGGACCCACCTTGCAAAAAACCGACGTGCCAAGAGAAAAAAGGACAACACTTACCCACTCTAGATGAAGGCAAGAGGCCCTACACCCAAGAGGGAAGGCCCCACCTGTCATATGTCGACTGAACCCCCATCTGGCTCCACCGCCTTTGTGCATGGCCCCCCGCATGGAAGCTTGATCTTAGCCTTTGATTTATGGTTGGTTTGATCCTATGGCAAAGAAGGGGTGTCACATGGATCCATGAGTCCACCTAGAAATGATATAAATACCCCCTACCCCTCACTCTCATTCATGACACAAAGGAGGAAACTACATTCTAGTACCTTGCTCTTGTAGTATGCAAATAGAGAGAGAGTCGAGTCATTGAAGTTATCTTTCTTTTATCCTTTTCTTTTATCTTTCTATACAGTGGACCAAACTCCTATCTTGGAATTTGTTGCTCCAAAGGGCGCTAGTTTGGAGCCACCAAAGTCATCTAAAGTCATCCTGGTTGTTCGTTATGAGCTTCACCCTAGTCTCATAACGATGGTTCAGGAGAAACCTAACCTTTATCTCATGAACCTTTGTTATTGTTCCAATTGGCGCCAAGCTAATGACGCTATTTCATCATGTGGATGATCCATTTCTGAGAGCATACATCCTTTTCAGATAACACATGTACACATACAAATGCTTATCCAGGTAGCATAAATTTATATACAATAATTCTTCAGAAGGCATATCTAACTGCTTGTTTAGAGAACATATATGCATATTTAGTGCACACACACATTTCATATTCAGAGCACTGCCTATTGATTGTATTTTAGAGAGTAATGTATACTTAGAGACTTAGAGTAGTGCACATTGCATAATACATATTTAAAGAATATGTATGCAGCATGCTGTAGCCCTTTGCGTAACGAGGTCCACCAGAAGCAAGGTGTCGGCCGTCAGCTTGTGGCACAGACCATTGGGGTTGGCTTATACCTTTCACAGTGATGTGACCTCCATGGCAACAGGTGCAGACATGCCTCCAACAAGTCCCATCTCCGAGCTCGTTAGGCTGGCTGATTCTCGCTCTCACAAAATCACTGTTTACGTCATACCGTAATAGTATTTTTCTCTCACAACAATCAGTCGAACAGTATTTTTCAGTCCTGCCGAACAGACCCTCCAACGATGGTGCCGCCATGGAAGTAGCTGCAGCCAAAAATGGCGGAGGTGCGCCTGCGTCCCGAAGGAGTCCCACTCCCACCGTCGACGACAGTGGCGGAGGTGCGACCATGGCGTCGGCAGGATTGATAGCGGCACCGAGAACAGACATTTGGGATGCCACTTAGGTCCATAAACTCTCAAAATGCATTTCTAGCACCCTAATGTTGTTCAAATGTGCCACGAATGTCCGTAAACTCTCAAAATACATTTCTGGTACCCTAATATTCTTTAATTGTGTTACATGGGTCCATAACAGCTCGGGAGCTGACTTTTGGCCTGTGTAGCATCGCCAACGTGGTGTAGACTATGGGCGTGTATGCCCGCAGCCATGCATGTGCTCATGCAGATTTTGGCTGTTTGGATGCTTGGCTGACGAATGCAACCTGGCTCACCGCATGCAACAGGCATCTCCCTGCCAGGCTCTGTGGAAACGTTGATGGCTTTCGTTTCCAACGAGCTAGGCCGGGGCAGTGCAAACTGTGCGTCCAGGAGCACAGCAGGAAGGTATTTCGGGCCACGTTTAGTTGGTCACCAAGTTGGCGCCGACTGATTTCGCGAAGCACTGTAGCTACAGTACTTGATCGTTTTTATTTGTTAATAGTTGTTCAAATATTAACTAATTAGGCTCAAAATGTTTGTCTCGTAAAGTACAACCAAACTGTGCAATTAGTTTTTTATTTCATCAACATTTAGTACTCCATGCATGTACCACAAGTTTAATGCGACGGGAAATCTTCTTTTTGCATAGTGTCAAAGTTGGTATTTTGGATGAACTAAACAGGGCCTCGAAGAGAAAAACAGGCAACCAATCAAGATCTCGCTGCAGCCAGGCTACAGAAGGATAGGAACCAAACTCCATCATCTCGTATGCACGAAACCTCGCTAGCCGGAGCCTGGCTCTCACATACGGGCTAGGGCTTGATTAGATTGAAAAAAATTCAACCCGATGAATAGTAGCACTTTCGTCTTATTTGGTAAATATTGTCTAATCGTGGACCAATTAAGCTTAAAAGATTCATCTCGTGATTTCCAACTAAACTGTGTAATTAGTTATTTTTTTTACCTACATTTAATGCTTCCATGCAAACGGCTAAAAATTGATGTGATGGAGAGAGAGTGAAAAAACTTGGAATTTTGAAGGTGTCTAAACAAGGCCTAGGTTGCCGTGAAACATGAACCAATCGTGCCCTATGCCGCCGCACACGTGAGGAGCGCGTGAGGTGGTTTGGATCATGGAAATAAGCAGGCAGACCCTCTTCTTCCTCATTTCCAACTCCATGACAGGAGATGGATGCATGGATGTGAGGAGGAGACGGTGATGTCACGCTGGTCACGCATCGGGCATTGCAATGCAAGCTGATGGCGCCCGGATGATTCAGCTAGCACTACTACACAGAATCTTTTGCGAGACATTTTCAAAATGGCCTCGGAGGCGGGCGGGCGAGCGGGCGGGCTGCCCGCCTCGGTTATTCATGGCAGGGCAGCCAGCCCAGCAACCGCCTTGGTTAATGCTTAACGGAGGCGGACAATGTAATTAACTGCCTCGGTTAATGCCTATTAACCGATGTGGGCATTATAACGCAACCGCCTCGCTGCGTTCAGGCCTCGAGGCGCGGGCGCACAAGAATGGGAGTGGGGCCTGCGTGTCGGTCGTAGTGAGAAAGCACAAATGTGCTGCGAGCTGGGGTGATCCATGTGCTACTCCACGTCAGCGATCCGGAGCGGGGCTGGTGGCCACTCGTGGCTCGCCACGTGGGCAGAAATAACTCTCGTCTGTCGCTCTGAGCGCCGCGGTTTTCTAGGAGCGCAGCGGAAATAACTCTCCCTTGTCCGTCCCTCTCTCTCTCTGTCCGTCTCTCGTCTCTCTCTTTGGTCCCTCTCTCGTCGGTCTCTCCCTTCGGTCCATCCCTCCACGCACGTCTCCCTCTCCGGTGGGGAGGCAGCGAAGGCGGCTGGCGGGAGGAGGAGGCACACGGGCCAGCCCCCTTCGGTGGCGGCGGCCACCACACGTAGCAGCGGCGCGCGGGGAGGCCCACACCGACAATGACAGCCCTCCCTCTGCTCCGAGCATGGCATGGTGGCCCCTCCCTCTCCTCCGAGCACGGCGCCCCTTCCCTGTCCCTCGTGCGTCGGCCACTAGATCCTACCTCCAACAGTCCACTAGCGGCGGATCCGACCACTGGAGGCGGCAGGGGCATAGATCAAGTCACCAGCAGCGATGGGGGCGCGGATCCGGCCACCACCGAGCGGATCCGGTCACCGGCGGCTGCAGCAACGCGGATCCTACCATGGGCAACGGCAGCGCGTAGTACCGGGCTCGGTGGGCTTTTTTATTTCGTGAAATTATTAACTGAGGTGGGCTACTTAACTCAACCTCCCCCGTTAATAGCGTTAACTGAGGCGGTTGTCTTATGCCGACCGCCTCGGTTAATCGATTAACCGAGGCGGTTGTTCGTTAAAGGTCCGATTAACCGTGACCTTTCGACGGAGGCGGTTGACAAAACCGTCTCGGTTAAGGCTTTTTGCCCGCCTCGGTTAAGATTCTTGTAGTAGTGTAGCTGGCGTCGGCGAGGCATATTCAAGTACTAACAGCAGTGGCTAGCGGATTTGAAAGCTCACTAACCTTGTGATGGAGCGAGCCAGTGAGCGACGACCAGACGGAGTCATGGGGTCTTGAGGGCTCGTCGGTCTCGTCTCCCGTGATGCTAGCCGTTGCTTTTCAGCCTGTACATTGCTCGCCTGCTCTGCTTTGCACGTACGACCTGGGCCGGACTCAGCCGTGGCGAGTGTGCTGCGCATGCACACCCCCCACCGCGTTGTCGCGCACAGGGACGCATGGAGTGGCTACTATACGGCCCATCCTGTTCGTGCCACTGCCGATCGATGACCTCGCCACGTAGCCACTTGGGTATGCCGTAGAGATAATAATGAAAGGAAAGGAAGAAGAGGATCTGCCTACTTATTTCTACGGCCCAAACCACCTCACGCGTTTCCTCACGTGTGCGGCAACACTATCAGCGCCACACTAGCGATGCCACGTAGGCTAGAAAGCAACTCCAGGACCGTTATGGACCTAAATGACACACCTGGACCACATTAGGGTGCCGAAAATGCATTTTGAGAGTTTGTGGACCTAAGCGGCACAACAAAACAAAATTAGGGTGCCAAAAATATATTTTGAGAGCTCATGGACCTAAGTGGCACCCTAGACGTTCATGGGCCTACCTAGCATAGTTAGTGGTCTGTGTAGTCCGTGTCCGCGTATGGGCTGAAGGGATTTGGGCCGTGACCTCGCCTGTAGTTGTGTGATGTACAGTATCGTCCGTTAGATGCTGCGGCAATGGTGCAAGAGGCTTGGACGTCCCTCTCACGTACTATCAAGTACGTACATTAGAGGATCTCATCACCCTCCTTTTATTCCCCCCCTAAACCCCGACTCTATCCCAAAACCCTCAAGCCGAAAACCCAACTCGCTACCGCGCCGGGGACTACTGGCCATCGATGGCGGCGGCGCCGCTGCTCCTCCATGCTGCGCGGCGACGGGACCTCGCGTCCCCTCTCGGATCCGTAACCCCCGCCTTCTTGCATCCTCCGTCTCCTTGTTTTTATTCGTATTCAGTATTAGTCATCTCATGCTTGTTTGGTAATCCAGTGGATTGGAGTTGATTCTTAACTCGAAGAGAGATGTGTACCGGCGGTTGAATAGTTAATGTAGATTGGTTTGAGTTCTCTCACGTGCTTGCGGTTTTGATGCGAAAAGGATAGATGGATTGGTGATCGTAAATTCTCAGATTATTTTGATTCTGATAATTGCGGCCTTACGGCTATGCTAAAATTAGTGCTGTTTCATTTTTTTGCCGATTAGTGCAACATAATGATTTTGTTTTCATGGAGGCGGCACTCTATTCTCCTAAATGTTTGTAGATTATTTCATGTACAAAAGCCTGGGTGCTATTTTAATTTTTTTTAATTTTAACATTTTTTTCAAATTATTTTTAAATTTAACATAAAGTTTTTTATTTTTAAAACTAATATTTTTGGTCGCGCCTATTGTCATGGTTTGCGGCCAAACAACTGTGCCATGTTATGAATGGTGACGCGACGTAGGATTGACGTGACGACGATCAGATTCGCTGACGATAACGCGGCAGGATCTGCCGCGCCACCGACGTGTGTCGGTAGTACCTCGCACTGATCCGTGCGCGCGGCACGGCGGCAGTGCAGCGCTACCATCTCCGCTGCTCAAGCCAGTCTACTGTAGCCTCCTCGTCCCGTCTTTTCCGTCCTCGCTCTGCGTGAATCTGCGTTCCGACGGACAGAGATCGATAGAACACTACTGTGGCAAAATACTGTGACAGCTTCAGGCTACTCTGACCTCTCGGCAAACACTGTGACAGCTTCAGGCTCACCTCTCGGCAAAACACTGTGGCAAGTCCTAGCAAAACACTGTGGCTCCTTTTCCCTCCCTGTACCTCCACTCGGCTGACAGGGACAATTAATTTTTGCTGCACCGTTCATCACTCACGTGTCCAATCAAAAGCAATCAAGCACGGCACAGGTGACCATTGCTCGTATCATGCATGTCTTGGCATCTAGTGATGGTGACGAAGAACGCAACACAAATCAGCTAGCGCAGTCAATGATGTATTGATGGTGATTTTATCCTAATTAAATGATTTATTATGTATTTAAAATGTTGATATGGTAACGTAATTAATGAAGAAAGAGAGCAAAAATTAGAGAAATAGTTTTCTCATGAAGAAATCAGATCTACTCTTAACCCAATACACCAAGAAACTATAAAATCGCCATTGAGGAGAAACCACCAGCTTTTAGGGAGCTCGTGTCACACTCCCATTTGAGGAAGAAGATAGAGTTAGGAGAGAGAAAGAGAAAATAATTATTACTCATAGAAATCATGGATTAAAAAACAATACTTTTTTTATGTGATATCATATGTTATAAAAACTACTAGTTTTTTTCATTAGGACTGCCCTTATCGTATAAGATTGATTGAATTAGTGATGACGTGGTCACTTTAAAAAAAATAGAGAGTCTAATTTCGCGAGTCTGTTGCGAACCGTATCTAGTTTAAGAGTCTATTATTTTACAAAGCCAGTTTAGAGAGATAAATTTCCATTATCTCTTAGACTTGCTCTTAGATCATTAAACTTGTTAAATGGTGTAGCGAGTCCATATTAACCACATGGATATTTTATCCAAAGTCACATTGCCATTGTCGCTTTGACTATATCTAGCCCTCACCCATCTTGCCTTCTTTCCTCCTCATCTCCCTCTTCTCTTTGGCAATGTCACGTCGAATAAAATATTCATCTGACTGTTATCGATCTACGGTGTACCACTTAACATATTTAGTAAGTTAAAAATATATGTTCGAAGTTCGTAGATTTAAATATATAATTAGATTTAAACATAAATATATATCATATCATATAATTATTATTATATTTTTTATAGAATATAATTTTATAGTATGCTTGTTTGTGGGATAACTATAAATATTTATATTTTTTATATAAATTTGATAAAACTGTACTAGACAGTTAGACGACGAATATAACTACGGGCTACGGCTACGGGGCTCCTCTTTCTAGTTTTTGCTTTGGTTTGCCAAACATTTTCTTGCTACAGCAGTGAAACAATGTTTCTACACAGTTCAGCCAGGACTTGTCACAGTGTTTTGCCGAGAGGTCAGAGGAGCATGAAGCTGTCACAGTGTTTTGATATAATTTATATGATATGATATAATTATATAGGATATCATTTAAATCTATAAACTTCGAACATATATTTTTAAGTTACTAAATATGTTAAGTGGTACGATAACAGTCAGATGAATATTTTATTTGACGTGATATTGCCAAAAAAAGGAGGAAGATGAGGAGAAAACAAGGCAAGATGGGTGAGGGCTAGATATAGTCAACGCGACAATGACAATGTGACTTGGATAAAATATCCATGTGGCTGATGGGGCCCAGACTAGCCAGCCGACTGCTCCCCCTCTCAATTTACTGTTCATCAAATCAGTCAAATAGTGTTTTTCTCTCACAACAAATCAGTCGGAACAGTATTTTTTAGCCAAGTTTCAGACCAACAACGGACCGATATGGACTCGCTACACCATTTAACAAGTTTAATGATCTAAGAGCAAGTCCAAGAGATAATAGAAATTTACCTCTCTAAACTGGCTTTGTAAAATAATATAGACTCTTAAAATAGATACGGTTCGCAGCATACTCGCGAAATTAGACTCTCTATTTTTTAAGTGACCATGTCATCACTAATTCAATCAATTTTGGTCGGATCCACTCTTTTTATCCTTCCAAACAACACGATAAGTGATTTGTATTGCGTTCTTCATCACCGGGACTGATCGTTGGTTGGACTGGTGCTGATTTAACTGATTGATATTGATTTTTAAAAAAAATCATCGTTAGCTAACTGGTTTAAGCTGGCTAAATCATCCAGCGAACAGGCTGACCATCACCTGATGCAAGACATGCATGATACGAGCACTAGAGCGGTCACCTGTGCGGCGCTTGATTGCTTTTGATTGGACACGTGAGCGATGAACTGTGCAGCAAAAATTAATTGTCCCTATCAGCCGAGTGGAGGTACAGAGGGAGGGGAAAAGGAGCTACAGTGTTTTGCTAGGACTAGCCACAATGTTAACACGGCCTGTTGCTACACAATTTTGCCAGAAGCTGTCACAGTGTTTGCCTGACAGGTCAGAGTAGCCTGAAGCTGTTACAGTGTTTTGCCACAGTAGTGTTCTATCAGATTCACGCAGAGCGAGGAGGGACAAGACGGGACGAGGAGGCTACAGTAGACGGGCTTGAGCAGCGGAGACGCGACACTGCCGCGTAAGGTCGATAGCGTCGACGGTCAGCGAATCTGGTCGCTGCGACGTTAGCCGTCTGTCGCGCCATCATTCATAACGTGGCATAGGTATTTAGCCGTGCCACGGTAATAGATGCGGCTAAAAATATTAGTTTTAAAAATAAAAAACCTCCGGTGTTAGATTTAAAAATAGTTTAAAAAAATATTAAAATTAAAAAAAAATCGCTATTTTCAGGGCTTCTCATGCATTAACGCGATCACTATTTCTTAGATGACAACAATCAACCTCTAGAATTATATGTCTTTAATTTGTCTCATAGTAACTCTATAATTCCTTAATTTGTTCATCATTCATAGAAAAAGGAACGTATGTTGTGACTACCATGGCAACTACAACTCGTACAATGATATGGAATTAGTCTCATAATAATAGTTCTAAAACTTATCTTATGAAACCATTGCTGTGTGAACTAACGACCTATTTTTCTAACCTTCACGTCATAAATTCTTAGTAGCAGTGCATGATACATCCTATATTCCTATGATACGGTTCATTTGTACAAATGTACTTGCCCTAAGGATTTCTAGCATCATTGGCTCAGTGGTTCCTGTGGATGAAGGGTAGCTTAATCATGAACACGAACAAATTATCTTTGTGCACCATTGTGTAATCAGTTTTAATTATTTGTATAATGGAAGTTTTCTGTTTGTCATTAGTGTGGTTTTGTTTACTTAGGCAGTGCAGCTAGGATTGCACCTTAAGGATTTTTTGAATATCATCATAGACAATATTGTTTCCCTTGCTTGTCTTCTTGCTCCTACTTACTGTATTCGATCAAACTTTTCTCAGCTCAGGGCCAGCTTACAGTCAAAATGTGCTGCCAGCCTGTTCTCAAAATGGGCTAGTTTCGCAAGACCTTTCAGGTAACAGTGATCTCTTGCTGTCTTAATTCTACAGACTACAGAGCTAAACCTTCTTATTGCTGTTACTCTAATTTGTATGCGTAACTGTTATTCAGTGCAAAAGCAGCTGGAAATGAGGTCATTGGAATTGATTTGGGAACTACTAACTCATGTGTGTCTGTTATGGAGGGAAAGGTCAGGTCCCTGTAAATATTCTACCGTTCATTTTTTTTTCTCTCTCGTTGTCTTTTGCTGAACTGGTAATCAAATGACTGCAGAATCCAAAAGTTATCGAGAATGCCGAAGGTGCTAGAACAACACCATCTGCTGTTGCTTTTAATCAGAAGGGAGAGCGCCTTGTTGGAACTCCTGCCAAGCGCCAAGCTGTAACAAATCCCCAGAATACTTTCTTTGGAACAAAGCGCCTGATCGGACGCCGCTTTGATGATCCACAGACACAGAAAGAAACGAAGATGGTGCCATACAAAATTGTCAAGGCTCCAAATGGTGATGCGTGGGTTGAAACAACAGATGGCAAGCAGTACTCACCAAGCCAGCTGGGTGCGTTTGTGTTGACCAAGATGAAGGAGACAGCAGAATCTTACCTTGGAAAATCTGTCTCCAAGGCTGTTTTGTTCCAGCGTACTTCAATGACGCGCAGCGTCAGGCCACAAAGGATGCAGGTCGCATTGCTGGCCTCGATGTTGAAAGGATCATCAATGAACCGACAGCCGCTGCTCTGTCTTATGGAATGAATAACAAGGAGGGTTTGATAGCAGTCTTAGATCTTGGAGGAGGAACTTTTGATATCTCTATTCTGGAGATGTCAAATGGAGTCTTTGAGGTATTTTTTCATAATTTTCAACTCATCTGTTGTGATGCATACATGTTATTAAGCGCGTGTTTAGTTACCACCCAAAATCCAAAAAAGTGCTACAGTAGCCATCACATCAAATCTTACGATACATGCATGGAGTATTAAATGTAGACGAAAAAAAAACTAATTGCACAATTTGGTTGGAAAATTGCGAGACGAACGTTTTGAGCCTAATTAGTTTATGATTGAACACTAATTGCCAAATAAAAACGAAAATACTACAATAGCCCAAATTTCAAACTTCCCGAACTAAACACGGCGTAAATACATTCTTTTTTTATTTGGTTATGTGTATTATCATGTCAAAGCAACAAATGGTGACACTTTCTTGGGTGGTGAAGATTTTGATAATACTCTTTTAGGCCCTGTTCGCTTGTCTTAAAAATGGCTTGTTCGGCTTATTTTTTCAGTCGAAATAGTGTTTTTCTCTCACAACAATTCAGCCGGAACAATGTTTTTCAGCCAATTTCAGCCAAGTTTCAGACCAACGAACGGGGCCTTAGAGTTCTTGGTGAGTGATTTCAATCGAACTGAGGGCATTGACCTGTCAAAGGATAGTTTGGCTTTGCAGAGGCTCCGTGAAGCTGCTGAGAAGGCAAAAGTTGAACTGTCATAAACCATTCAGACTGAAACCAATCTACCATTCATAACAGCTGATGCCTCAGGAGCAAAGCATTTGAATATCACACTGACAAGGTCAAAGTTTGAGGCTCTTGTGCACCAGCTGATTGAGAGGACCAGAGATCCCTGCAAGAACTGCTTGAAGGATGCAGGAATATCTAGGCCCCGTTTAGATGCGAAAATTTTTGGTTTTTGACTATTGTAGCACTTTCGTTTGTATTTGATAAAAATTATCTAATTATGGACTATTTAGGCTTAAAAGATTCGTCTCGTCAATTACGGGCAAACTGTGCAATTAGTTATTCTTTTTACCTACATTTAATGCTCCATGCATATGCCGTAAAATTTAATGTGACGAGAAATCTTGAAAAATTTTAGATTTTGGGTGGGATCTAAACAGGGCCAAAAGATGTGGATGAGGTACTTCTTGTTGGTGGGATGACCAGGGTTCCAAAAGTACAGGAGGTGGTCGCTGAAATTTTTGGAAAGAGCCCAAGCAAAGGAGTCAACCCCGATGAAGCTGTGGCCATGGGTGCTGCCATTCAAGGTGGAATTCTCCGTGGAGAAGTTAAGGAGCTTCTTCTCCTTGATGTTACTCCCCTGTCACTTGGTCTTGAGACGCTTGGTGGCTTCTTCACCAGGTTGATCAACAGGAACACTACAATTCCTACAAAGAAAAGCCAGGTGAGTTGTTATTTATCTATTCTTTCGGACCATTCAACTTTTTGGGTATACCTGTTATCTGGATGATTTTTTTATCAACTTATCAACATAATCTTATTGAGTGTCCAGATATGATTACCATCCTATGAACCATGCTGCACTAGTACAACTTTGATCTGATCTTTGGTTATGATTTTGCAGGTGTTTTCAACTGCTGCTGACAATCAAACCCAAGTAGGTATCCGTGTGCTGCAAGGTAAGCGTGAGATGGCTGCAGACAACAAGCTCCTGGGTGAATTTGATCTCGTTGGCATTCCACCTGCTCCAAGAGGCATGCCTCAGATTGAGGTCACATTTGATATTGACGCCAATGGAATCGTGACAGTCTCTGCAAAAGATAAGGCCACAGGAAAGGAGACGAACATCACCATTCGATCCTCCGGTGGGCTGTCTGAGGCCGACATCCAGAAGATGGTTCAGGAGGCCGAGCTGCATGCCCAGAAGGATCAGGAACGAAAAGCACTCATCGACATCAGAAACAATGCGGACACAACTGTGAGCGACAGGAGTTGGAGACGGGAAGAACTGGGAGGTAGAATCGGAGGAAGAAGAAGAAGGAACCAGAGGCAGCGCTGAAGAGTTCTTAGTTCTAGGAAACTGGTTCAGAGTTTACAGAATGTCAGATGATTCTCTTCCTTCCTCACACCGGTTGATATATCATTACAGAGGCTCTGCCTCAGTCACGCATGCAAGCGCCGAAAAGATCAAACCCATTGCTCGCCGACTACTCGCGGGTTGGGCTTCCTAGGCCTTCTTCCTCTGGGTCGGTCTCCGGGTGCTCCATCTTGGGCCGTGTTGCTACGGTGGCTGACATCCCCTCCCCCTTGGAACACTGCTTGCCCCCAAGCAGTGGCTCGTGGATACTCCTGGTGAACAGCTTCAAAATCTTCCCAGGTAGCCAATGCTGATGGTAGATTGTTCCATTTGACAAGTACCTGAGGTATAGTAGAAGAACCACGGGCGACCATACGAGTCCGCAGAACCTGTTCTGGAGCCAAGTGGATGGCAAAGTCAGACGGTAGGGTGGGGATTACCTGATGATTGGCACCGACATCCTTCTTCAGTTGTGAAACATGAAAAACCGGATGAATCGCCGAGTGAGCAGGCAAGTCAAGCTTATAAGCCACTGAGCCGATCCGAGCCAGAATACGGAATGGTCCGAAGAAGCGGAAAGCAAGTTTCTGATGGGAGCAAGGTGCCAGGGAAGTTTGGACATACGGCTGCAGCTTGAGGTAGACGAGATCACCTACTGCAAAACTGCGCTTTGACCGATGTTGATCAGACTGTTTCTTCATCCGTTGCTTGGCCCGGTTGAGGTGATGTTATAGAAGCTGGTCCATCCACTGACGGTCTGAAGCCCAGCCAATGACTTTCGGATGTGAGACAGCAAAAATGTCAAGAGCCAGGAAATGCGGAGGATATCCATAGAGTGCCTCAAAGGGCGAGCGACCGATGGCCGAATGGAAGCAGAAATTATACCAAAATTCCGCAAATGGCAACCACTGACTCCATTTGTTGGGGCAGGCATGGACAAAGCACTACAAATAAGTTTCTAGGCACTGGTTAAGCCGCTCTGTCTGACCATCGGATTGGGGGTGATAAGCGGTGCTGCGGCAATGGGAGACATCCGCAAGCTTGAACAGCTCTGACCAAAAGTGACTTGTAAAGATACGGTCATGATCCGAAATGATAGAGCTCGGAAGGCCATGTAATTGATAAACATGCTGAAAGAATGACTTAGCAATTGTGACAGCAGTGAAAGGGTGACTGAGGGGAATGAAATGGCCATACTTGGTCAGTAGATCGATTATTACCAGCACACAGTTGAAGGATTAAGATAATGGAAGTCCCTCGATGAAATCCATCGATATCACTTGCCACGCCGAATCAAGAACCGGCAAGGGCTGCAAGAGGCCTGGAGATCTGGTTCTATCATACTTGGACTGTTGACAGATGGCACAGGACTGCACAAAATGCTTGACTGCAGTTTTCATACCTCTCCATGCAAAACATTGCTTGATCCTCATATATGTGACTGGTATGCCAGAATGGCCGCCCCATGAACTAGAGTGAAATTGGGAGATGAGCTGTTGTTGGAATGTCGGGTCATCGCCAATCCAGACGCGGCCCTTGTAACGGAGTAAGCCAGACTGCAGGGAATAATGAGGTATAGCCGCTGAGTCCACCGACAACTTGGTCAGCAAGGAAGTAGCAAAAGAGTCCTGTCGATAACTGGTCAGCACTGCAGAGATCCAGGAGGGTACCAAAGAGGTGACGACCGCACACATAGCTGGAGGGGAGGGGTGATGAGACAATGCATCCGCTGCCCTGTTATCCGAACCTGAGCGGTATACAATGCGGTATTGGAGGCCCAGCAGTTTGGAGAAAACCCTTTGTTGCCAGTGAGTATGCAGCCGCTGATCAGTGAGCTAGGTCAGGCTTTTCTGATCGGTAAAAATCACAAACTCCTGAAACTACAAGTAAGGACGCCACAATTGTACAACAAGCAAGATGTCCATGAATTATTTTTCATATGTTGATAAGCCATGTGACTTGGAGCCCAATGCTTTACTGAGGAATGCCAGGGGGTGACCGTCCTGCATGAGAACCGCACCGACACCTAACTCCGATGCATCAGTTTCAATGGAGAAAGGTTTGGCAAAATTGGGAAGAGCCAGCACCGGAGCTTGACAGAGGGCAGTTTTCAAGGTCTGAAAGGCAGAGTCGTGATCAGGAGTCCAAATGAACAAGGCATGCTTCTTCAGGAGATTGGTCAGAGGTTTTGAAATGATGCCAAAGTGGCGAACAAAGCGCCGGTAATAGCCGGCAAGCCCCAGAAAGGAATGGAGTTCTTTGACTGAGCTGGGAGTTGGCCAAGAGGAGATAGACTCCAGCTTGGATGGATCAGTACCCACACCGGCCTGACTGATGACATGACTGAGATAAGAAAGCTTGGTCTGAGCGAAGGAACATTTGGACATTTTCAGCTTCCATTGATCCTTAGACAACAACTCAAACACAGTGCGTACATGCACGACGTGCTCCTCCCATGTTCTGCTATAGACCAGGATATCGTCAAAGAAGACCAAGACAAACTGCCAGAGATAGGGAGCCAGTGTGGTATTCATGGCATCTTGGAAGGTACCCGGGGCTCCTGTGAGTCCGAAGGACATAACGTGAAATTCAAATTGACCAAAGTGTGTTTGGAAGGCGGTTTTGAATTCGTCACCCGATTTCATGTGGATTTGGTGGAAGCCGGACTACAAGTCCAATGTTGTGAAATAGGCTGCCCCGGACAACTCATCCAGCAATTCTTCAATGATAGGAACATGATATTTGCCTTTGACTGTAATTGCATTCAGTTGACGGTAATCGACACAAAACCTCCAGGACTGATCCTTTTTCTTTACTAAGAGAACCGGAGAGGCAAAAGAACTGGTACTCTTCTGAATGATTCCCTGTTGAAGCATGTCATTAACTTGCCGCTCAAATTTTGTTTTCAGAATAGGAGCATAGCGGTAAGGCCGCACAAAGACTAGTTGAGCCCCGGAGATCAAAGGAATGGAGTGGTCACAATGCCGGCTAGGAGGCAATCCTGAAACTGGCTCAAAGAGATGAGCATATTCATCCAGCAATGCTGACACAGCCGGATGCAACAAGGAAACTGACTGGGAAGACTCAGGAGGCTGTACCAAATAGAGTTGAATGACAGAGCCCACCGAAAGGTCTGCAGTATCCCCAATCAAGATAGCTGTAGCTCCCTCGTAAGGAATGGAGATCCATTTTTGAGCCCAGTGGACTTGCATCGGGCTAAAACTGGCCAGCCAATCAAGACCAAGGATCATATCATAAGATGAAAGAGGCAACAACTTAAGATCGGTGGAAAAGGAGCAGCCCTGCACTAACCAATGAGCACTTGGCAAGAAGGATGTGCATTGTAAAATGGCCCCATTAGCTACTTGCACCTAAACTAGGGACGGAAGATCCTTGATGCCGGTGAGCGACTGAGTCAATGCAGAGTTCAAGAAGGTATGAGATGAACCGAAATCCACCAAAATAGACAGAGGGTGACCTTGGATGTGTCCAGACAAGCTAAATGTCTTAGGGGAAGCTGAGCCCACTGCCGCTGCCACCGAGAGGTGCATCATGATCTGATCGTCGTGATGAATCCTCAGAACACTCAGCTGCATCAGACTCCAGAAATAAATCCATCAATTCTTGCACCAGATGCAACTGCACCATGTCTGAATACTTGTGTTCACGACTCCACTTTGCGCCACACCGGATGCACAGACCTTGGGCACGGCGAGAGGCTCGTAAGGCTTTGAACTTGTCTTCCGCCGAGGTGGACAGAGCTTGGGGCAGCCGCTTACTCTCGCCATCAGCAAGCTTCGGTGGCGGTGGAGGCAGCGCCAGGGCACTAGGCCACCCCGGCTTATATGCAGGGGATATATCCAAACGCCGAATAGGCCTCTTGTTGAGTCCCAGCGCCTCTTCCTGTAATTGAGCAAGAACGCAAGCAGTATCCAAAGTAGATGGACGTTGAACAAGAAGAGCAGCTTTGATTTCATCACGCAAGCCATCCAGAAAACGTTGGGTATAGTAGAGTGGGTCTAGGTGTTTGGTATAGGCTTTTAGATCATCTACTAGAGCAACAAACTGATTGATGTATTCATTGACAGGGCCAGTTTGCTGAATCTGAAACAAGCGATGTAGCAGGATCTCGTGCTCATCCCTGGCAAAGCGCAAAAGCAATTGGGAACAGAATTCAGACCAAGGGATTGTCGTAAGCTGATCCTCAACAGAAGATAGCCAACGTTTGGCTGCACCATGAAAGTGCATAGTGGCCGCTTGCACCCAAACCTCTGACTCCACACGATAGAGTTCAAAATAGTGAACGGCTTGCTTGATCCACAGCTTAGGATGATCCCCCTCGAACCTGGGGAAATCAAACTTGGGAAGCTTGCCGGTATGGCCGCCCCCAGAACCCCCTGATAGCTGGACTCGTAAGAACCCCCTGGGTGTGGCTGAGGTGGACGCGGTGGTGATGGGCGGGGAGGGCTTGGTAATGGATGCGGTGAAAAAGGAGGGCAAGGAAACGTATCCTTGCCGAGAGGTGGAATCAGAGTGGTAACCACTCCGAATGCACCTTCCCGGTTCATGTTGTCGACGCGGTGCCCGCTGGGCCGAGGGGCTGCGGATCCCACAGATGGGCGCGGGGCAGCCAGAATGTCACCGAAACTGGCGGATCTGAAGTGCGGAGTGACGACGGGCTTGGCGTCGCGGAGCGAGGCGTAGGGCGACGCAGGAGCCGAAGCAGACTTGGTGGCGGGCGCTGCCGCGATCACCCCGGGAGTCGCTGAGGGGCCGTCCACCATGGAGCGTTCCATGTACTTGGAGATCTTCCCCACTTCTAGCTTGAGAGTTGCGAGCTTGGTGACTTCGAGGCGAAGGTTGTCGATGACGCCGTCGACCCCCGGGCGCCATTCGTCGAACACCTTGGCTGCAGACTCAAGGCATCTAGATGGGTGGAAGAAGACGCCGCAGTTGAATCGAGCTTCCGCTCCAGACCATCG